TGGGAATCTTTGTTGCTCATATTCTTCCTTCATCATACAGATTTTCTAACACTTTTAGAAGTGAAGTCTCCTTTACTGCAGGATGGGATGGGGAAGACTTTCAGATTTTTTGCATTACTAACACTGCCACTGCCCTGGTAAATTCAGTTCTCTTCCATGGGTTATACACTGCTGCCTGAGAAAACAAATTCATACCTGAAACAAAAAGGGCATTGAATTTGATTTCTAATTCAGCTGTGTTTTTTCACTCTGTAGGTAACAGAACGAAACTTGAACACAACATTAATGAAACCAAACCAGCAATCCCAAGCACTGTGCTATTACAAATAAATGCTTTCATCTCTGACAATGACTCTTAAAACAAGTCTGTCTGTTTTCCCAATTACTTGCTCTCTAGATGAGTCACCCTTCCACGAAGTCTGACATGAAGATAGCATCTTTTTCCTCTACATAGTCCACCACCTTTTAGTTCTGTATCATGTGAAAGTGTTAACTTCAAAGCACAGCAGGGACTGTTCAAATACCGACATTATTACACTGGGCAGTGTAACATTGCCTACGCCTAATTAATGCTTGTACAATGCTTTGAAGATATAAAAGTTTATGATTACTGACTAGGACCTGTACTGAACTAATACCAAAACTGGACTAATTCCTACTGAAACGAGTGTGGAAATCGTTCAAAGTTACACCATGCGATACTACTACTCCAACAACATTAGTTATCCTACATGGGGGCTGAGGGGGAAGGGGAGAAATCAAGTCCAGACCTTGCTATGGTGAGATTCTTCTGCCTTTGATGCAAATGGAAATAGAGTTCAGTGCCTCTAGTTTAATACCCATGACTTTCTTTGAAACAAGAAAAAAAAATCATCTCTAAAGTATTATAAAAATTAACCACATGAACATTCAGCCTTAAAATTAAATGTAATCTTTACATAATTTAATATGCCTCTTATAAATCTTCACCCCAGATACCTAAAGCGTAGTAGCTCTTCACGTTTAAAACTCAGGAAAAAGGAAGCAGGTTGTAGCAAGTACTGTCAATCCTTACTTGAACATTTGGTTCAGGCTGTGTGATAAAGGTCTTCATGTTGTATTCCTGTAGTTGACATGACAAGAACTCACAGCCATGAAGAACTAAAATCAAATGTCCCCTTCCCCAACATACGCAGGAGCATCATCTCCTACGTATTTCTACCCTAGGTTATTCAAGTTTATGCTAGGCTCATCCACACAGCAAAACGCATGCTTATGGGATTTATGAATGATTGATGTATGGGATCTGGCGTATCCAATTGGATTCACTGTCTACCTCCACGCTCCAAGTATTGGCTCAGTTGCATTATAGTGCAGCATCACAGAAAAGAACAGGCTCCCATTCAAGCATTCACTGTATCTGTTTCCTTCCAGGAATGCACAGCTCTAGCATACTTGTTGCCCCACAGACCCAAGAACTGGGATAACTACTTCCAATATCATTATTAAATTCTCAAAATTACTCATTTCTGTAGCTATGTTTGCATGGAACCAAAAATGAAGAACACTTGTTTCAATCAGGAAAAAAAAAAATACTCAAACTAAGCACAAACGTCTTTTCAAAAGGAACCTATCATTCCTGATTGCCAGCAAACCTTAACCGGCCTATGCCAAGCCTCACTGACACTCCTTTTCACCACTGAGTTACACCCGGCATACTCTAGTCACAGATGGCACATTCATTGAGTAGACTTTTAGCAAGTGCAAGGGATCAAAGAGCTAGACTGTCTAATTTATCTGTAAGCAAAATCCATCTTAATGCTGGCCAGTATCCCACTGATGTGCTCCCACTGTATAAGCTGCAAAGTAAAACTTTTCCATCTTAGATCAATAGTGTAATACTGAAAGCAAATGTAACCACAGCATTCTTAACCTTTCATATTGCACTCCTCCTTCCACACTGTTTTGCGCATGGTTCACCCAAAATCACAATCCAACACTGGGAGACTAAAATGAGGTGTACATTTCAGAGTAAGGGTTTTGCTGTTCCCCAACAATCATTAAGTCACTTTATGCCCTTGACTTGGCACTGTTTCAAAAATATGAAAAGATCAACACAGGCATTGTTACACAGAGTCCTCCTTAACGGAGGTACTTTTACAAAATCTGAAGAGCACCACTAATAATCGTGGCTTTCGGAGAGTTTTTCCATTCTTGCAGAAACTCCCTTCCAGTGTTTCAATACCAAACTCAACTAGCCACATATTAAGTAGTGAAATTCAAATACCATTTTAAGTATTTGATGTTTAGAATCCTTAAGACCCTTCCTTTAAAAGTACCTCAGTGTAGTAAATACAACTATATTCATTATCCACAATGTCATGCAGACATACGCTTTATTAAAGTAACAGAAAAGAAAGATTTCGCAAGAAAGTCACTTAGTGAAAGCACTCTGAAACAGACTGTCAGAATAATTATGGAAAACTCACAGATAATCTCATCAACTCAATATTTAAGAAACAGACACATCCTCATACATGTTTCTTCCGAGACAACGTAACAATACAGTTCACTAACCAAACTTTACACTCTATGTATCTGGTGTACCAAAAAACCAGTGGTACCACAAATTCAGAAATCCCTTGTCTTCACTGAACAGCTAGTACACGGAAGCATAACAGGAAAGTAATACAAAATTCTTATGTTATTGAAAGATCAGTGAAGATTCTCCCCCTGCAACTGCCAGAGTTTATTCTTCATACTTGAGGTGGAATGGCTGAATAAGTAAAGTAGTCTCTAAACAAGACTATCTACGTGAAATTAATTCAACAGGAGACTAACATATATTCTTATTTCCCCAGGCCTGTGGTCTTCCACTTTGTTAAACAGAAAGTATTTCAGTAGGTTATACCTGATCTACAGGGGGTTTGTCCAACTTTTCAAGTTAAGAAGGTCAGGTTATAAAAATGCATATACACAAAACGCAATTCCCAAGAGGAAATAGAGCAGGTCAAGCCCAGAAGTATTGTTTGCAAGCATTAACAACCCCAGTGAACAGCAATGCCATCCAACAGCACTCAGGTTGCAAAGACTTTGGTCACAAGAAGCGTTCAGTGGGTCAAAATAACAGCAGAGTTTTAAGTAGTCTTAACTTTTTTCTTTATAAATGCAATGAAGAAGACAGACTATGCATTAAATATAAAAGCAATTTTATAAAAACACATCAGAATTTTATTGCTTGAAGAATACAGCATATGAAAAAGCACAAGAATGTCCAAAAGAAAGGTCACAAGGATCCAAACATATTACACCATACATACCAGATGCAGTAAAATGTTAACCTGAATTCTGCATCAGAAAAGAAAGGTGTGAAAATATACCTAATATTATTTAAAAGGAAAAGACTCATTTAAAATAGAAAGTGTGAAGGTGTTACAGTACAAATTAGAAAAGCCAACACTGCACATTAACATCCTATCACTAGACTAGATTTTCTACCTTTGGTACTTAAACCTTTACAGAAAACCACTTCCTCGGTCAAACCTTGCCTAACGTATTTCATATAGTATCCATGAAAGGGGGTTCGTTTTGTTGTTTGGGGTTTTTTAAATGTAAACATTCAAACAAATACTTTTCTGAGTTTTCACTGCATTAATGCATTTAAGGAAGTGTTCACATTTATTCAATATGCTACTCAATGTATCGCAAATTTAAATCAAAAGTCACTATGTGACCGAGATCCGAATATATGCCAATTGTACCTTGTTCAGATTTTATGTAAAAATGGGCACATCATTTTCTGTTTGCATCCTTATGTAAACAGGCTGCTGCAGCCCTCCTCGAGAATTCGAACTAAAGCAACCTGCTGAGGACATAAGTTAATAAAACAATCCATGGTGCTAGAGAGCTATTGGATCACCTACAGCAGCATGCAAGTGGCTTTTCTAGTCTGCTCAGATTAGTGTACCAGAAGACATGCCAGTATTACTTCAAGTAACACATTAAAACTCAGCAATGGACACTACTGTGCTTTATTTCAACACAAAGAACAGCTGCTCATCCATTAATCAACAGAATTTTCAAATTAACTATCAAACGGACTACTACATCGTTTCTGTTCCATGTATTGCTGATCACTCTTGGGGAATAGTTTATCAGAAACTTGGACTTACCTATGAACCAATTTGAATGAAGAAAATGTTATCTTTCAACAAGGTATCTTAGTAATCCAGTGACAATCTAGTCTGGAGAATGTTAGCATTATGCTGACAACAATGACTAATCAAGGTTAAATAAATTCCCTCTTTTATGGTAAGCATGCTCTTAGCTTCCGCTTTTGCCTTCATAGGCTTGAATACTTAATCATTCCCAGTTACATCAGTGGAACTAAAACAATTCTGTTGCATCAAGTTCCAGCTTTAAATTTCAACAATATGAATAGATCCGGACTACGAAATACCATCAACAACAGTTAACATTAAACTGGAGTGAAATAATAGAAGAGTTAGTTCTTCAAACCAGGCAGTCTTTGAAGTGAAATATTCAGTTAGGACTGTCAAAGGATGTCATAATAAAACCATGGATTTATTTTTTTCACCCCTATACAAAAAAATGACTGAATTTGTACAACTCCTATTAAACATACCTTTTCCTAGCTTGGTGAAAATGTATCATTTTCGAATTTTAACAAGTGTGGTATTTGAGCATATATAATACTTATTGCCATATACATCCTCATTTTAAAAAGAACTAAGAATTCAGACTCTACTATGCTGAACTCTGCTTTTTTCCCATTAACAGATTATGTCTACTGTACCACTCCCCCAAAAAACAATTAAAAATTCTAAGTAAGATTTTATAGTTTAGTTAAAAGGGAAGAAATGCAAATGTGGATTTAGAGCTTTTTGTATAAATCTCACTATATTTTATAAACTCGTTGTTTATTGTAACACTGTTTATTGATCAAATAAATGACGCACTGCTATCTAAAATTTCCATATACACCATTAAAAATCCAAAGTTGATATGATACTGAACCTTAAATCTTCAAGAGTTCAAAAAAAGACAGTTTATACATGTACAGCACACAACAGCAGACACCCCTAGAATACCAATTGCCAGTCCATGATGCATACAAACTTACAGGTAAGCATTCATTTCACTGTTTTCATTGTGCAGGAAAAATATTTCTTAGTAAAGACAAACTCAGCTGGTGAATTTCAGATATCATCTTCATCATCTTCATCCTGAGAGGATCCTGCCTGATTGGATGCACTGGCTGAGGCAGCAGCAAGCTGTGCCTGTTGAGCTGCTTGTTGCATCTGTAGCCATTCCTGCTGCGCCAGTTCTGCTTGCTGTTGTCTAGCCTAAAGACATGAATTTAATTGTTAAGGCCATACATAGCTTGTGAAGAATCTCTAGAGCATCTTATCTTTAAAGGCAGTTTTATCTGCACCTGCATATTCCTTTTGTATAATTTTTATTAATTGTACATATAAAAACACATCTAGAAGTACCTTAATTATTTGTACCAAGACATTCAGCTATATTCTCTCTTCCTCTGAAGAGGCCACCATTTGGAGGATTTAGTTACAAAAACAAGAGGCAGGACCTAGTGTACTTAAATTCCATTGTAGGGACTGTGCTGAACCACTTCCTAATGGAAAAATTAAGTGAGGCAAAGCAATGGAAATTCTAGGCTTCAATTTCAAGGGATCTTAACATTTAATCACAGTTCTGAGATGAGAACAGCTTTGTTGATTACAAATACTAAAACTTGCAATTATGAAATCATCCAAAAGTACCACAAAGACACATGCTATTACAGAAACATAAAGAAAGCCATTATCTTACTTTGCTAAGCAATCTTTGGAAAACAGAGCAATGTAAGGTCTTCTCAAATTCGGGTATGCAGACTGAGGATGGCTTTTGCTACAGAAAGTTACAGTCCTTTACTGAAAGGTACAAGACGTTCTAACAAAACGTTTCAAATAGTTCAACTGGTGATCTCTTATTTTTCTATCCAGGGTTTTCACTCGTTTTTCAGCAATTACTGTTGATTTCAACAGTATACTCGTCAATTGTGTTAAGATTAAAACTTCAATTTCTACTTTGAGTGAACATCAGGAAAAAGTTCTTAAAATCAAAAATCTTCAGTCATCTTTACTTTTCTACTTTTACAAGTCATCACTAAGAATGTAATGACTTCCCTTCTAATCCCATTGCGCTCACTGAATTTTCCTATTTTTCACCAAAGCATCAACAAATTTTAGTTTTGCAAACTTCAAGATGCCAAAAGATGATGCTTTGGAAAATGATCAAAACCAGTTTATCTACTTAACGAAGTGAAAAAACGGCAGTCTTCCATTATTATAAGAAGCGTCACATTTCCTCAGTCTGTTCTAGCATTAAAAGAAAATACTTTTACAGAGGTAGAAATCCCTTCTCAATGAAGACTCTTCAGTACTTCAAACTTCAAGTGGTAGAGAGCTTACAAGCGTTGGAAAACAATTTAAGACATTGTAAAGTTTTAAACAAAGGAAGACAGCAGCATCTGTACACATAGGAGAGGCATAAATATTTATCACACACAAGAGAACAATAGGGCTCCCTACTGACCCTGCTACAATTAAGTTTACTGTACGCTCAACGAGGTGATACACATGCATGCACCAGAAATCAGAGGCTCAGCACTTCACACCAGATGCATCGTTTTGTCAGTGCCTACCCTCGCTGCCGTATTTATAGTGATATCACTTAGCCATTTCAAATGGAAAAAAAAAAAAAGAAAAATTCCATTGAGTTGTATTGACTAAGAAGTTTTATAAGCGTCTGGTAAACTTAACTCACTCATCGCACAGATGAACTTTAATGAGGAAGCCTCAAAAAAACCCAAATCCGTTAAGGCCCTTGTCTTGCACAGAAACTTAGACATGCATGAACATTGGGATAAGCCATTCCACTGACTTCAAATATTTACAATCATCCAAGCTACAGGTGTCAAACATTCATAAGATGAACAGGCAAGTATTTTAAAACTAGAGCAAGAAGTCATCATTAGTGTCATGCTCTAGAATATTAACAGGATTAGCACAAATAAACAAACATGCACTTGTGTAACTATTTTTAAGAATAATTACAGTACCTCCAACAGCATATCACAACTAGTATTTTTGAAAAATGAGACTGCCATCTTTGAATCTAAGCAAAGGTTTTCCATATTACCAAAGACTATTTTAAAAAATCATTCATACAATCTTGTCAAACTTGCATGCATTGCCTTCGTTTAGACATTAAGGCACAGTATTACAGAATTAAGAACAAACTTACCTCAAGGGGCCATTCCTTAGATAAAGCGTGGCTTACATAAGGTGGTCATGATTTCAGCATTTATTTTTTTTTTAAATGTTACTCAGAAGCTAGTATTCCCTTAACACACCTTATTTGCTCTTTTTTTATTTTGTATACCATGCTAAGTTATTTGAAAAAAAAAAGTAAGTAAAAAACAGGTATCAAACTGACTATTATTTGTAAATCTCACCCTTAATCCAGAAGCAGCCTTATTGGTTTTTCTAATGTTAGCACAGTCAAACAAAAGTTAGGCACACGTGAATTTATCAAAACTAGTTCACTGCATGCTGACAATAGCTATGCGGTATGCTGAAAATGTAAATGCCTTAAAATTCATCATGCAATTAAGATTAAAATAGTTTGCATGTTGTAATATGACAGACAACAGTCATTAAGTGTGTCGGCAAGATACAAGTATAGGGAAGGGGAGTGAAGGTCACAGCAATCAGACATGGTAACATATAACTGAATAAGCATTTTCACCAGAGGAAATCAAAGTAAGCAAACAAGACTCATGCCTTGGGTAAGAGGAAAGAGAAATCCAAGATAATTTTCACATCACTTAGTTTAGAGAATGGTCTTCTTGTCAAACTTGGAGAATAGTAGAGAGAAAGATGGTGTAGAAAGATAAATAAATAAAATTGGCTTTCAGTCATTCAAACTTGGAGATGTTCACAAACTATCTGGGAAAGCGAGGAAGGGAAAAGGCTTCGATGAAGGAGAATGTGTGTGTGCACGCACACAGTATTTGCAGGCAAATGCTCTTCCTATGCCTGAATTGCCTCTTTAAAAATTTATGCATGAATTCACTCAATTAGAGCCTTGCCAAGAGTAAAGGAAGATGGAAAAGACAAATTAGAAATTTTGAACAATTAAATGTTTCTTTCAAAGCCTAAGAAATAACATTTATGCACTGATGGCCAGAAACAGAAAAGGTATTTTCACTTTTTAATGCATCAAAACTGGTAATTTCCTAGAACATCAGCTGTCATTCTTTTATTTTGTCAGCCAAGTAATTCTTAATGTATTCTCTACAGTAGAATGGAAATACCTAAGTAGCAGCAAAAAAACATGCTTTTTAAACCTAGAGTATAAAATTTGCTTGTGTACAAAGTCCTATATGTCAAATCACAGAAGTAACAAGTAGCAGCATCTTATTTGTTGACTTTACTTTCCCCAATTCAAACAGCAAGGTCAATAGCATCTTAGATGCCACAGCAATTCACAAGGAAGGGGATACTTCTTGAGGTGTGCGCATGTTTTTGTGGCACTAGATCTGCAGCATTAATCATTCCAACCTCATCAGTACAAGTATTGCTTCACTTACTTTTGCAAATAATTCCTGTTGCTGCCTTAGAAGCTCTTCTTCCGGAATGCCGAGGTTCTCCAAGCGTGAACTGGCCTTTCTTCTCTTTAGTGCTACTGTTTTGCATTCTTGTAAGACTTCTTTTACTTCACTGATATAGGAGCCAAACCCCAAACTTTCTAGTGCTAGAAAGAAAGAAAGAAAACACATTGTTCGTCTTTTACAAAGCTTTTGAGAATAGATATCGATTTGTTTATTTAAAAGATTAAAACAAAGAAGTAAAAAGGTTGTCACCAGATGATAGAAAAGTGATCAAAAATCTGTGGTCATAAGAAGATCCGACAGCTATTTTCCCTGTCTCTTCTTCTATGCCATTTAAGAGCTCATGTTTTCAGGCTAGAAAAATTAAGGTTAGTCAAGTACAACCAAAGAAGCCTGCGCTTGCAGAGGATCCAGGGCTTTCAGATACATTTTGCTAGAGATAGGCGTTGTTCTTCAAAAGACATCTTTCTCCTGTCTTCTACATATCAGAATCAAGCAGAATTTATACAACTAAGAAGTCCTTCCTATCTGAATTGTTAACCTTTAATCTCTCAGGGATTCTGTCTTTCCAGTTTTGGTGTAAGTCTTCAATTAGCAATCTATAACAGAGCAAAACCAATGCATGTAAAATGATCACAGATCCTTCATTAAGACAGAAATAATTAATATTACCTTAGACCTATGAATTTAAGCTTTTGCCTTTTAATATGTAAATTCATATTTCAAGTGCCAAGAAGCTAAAAATGCATAGTTCACACATATGAAGTTATATAAAATTATGTAGCAGCTCTTTATTGTTTTATTTCTCAACAGAAACCCTTTTACCTATCTCCACATGAAAATGTATTCAGAAACTAAAATCTTGCACTTTTATCTGCCCAAAGAAATCTGAAATGCAGTTATATCCTGTGACAACAGCTTTTTTTAAAGAATGCAAAAGTAACAGGAAGGATTATAAAAACCCAGGTAGAACATGTGATGAAACGCACACTCTGTTTCCTGATTCACCAGTTACTACGATATGCCTCCACATATACACACACCTCAAAGTGGAACCTGTTACAGAATATGCTAGAAATATTACATAAACACCAATTATACTAGAAACAAGTCCCAGTTTAATAAAACACCTGGTTCATTTCCAGCATTTACATAAATCAGAGTTTTCTTTATGGAATGATAGTTGTTTTAACCTTTATCTTACTTTATTTCAACCTTATGTCACAAGCTATTCAAGAAATAGCACTAAAATAAACTGCACAACAGCAATCAACAACTTGCTATAAACAAGCTGTTAGTTACACTAACTCAGACTATATTCTAACATTAATCTTGTAAGCAACCTTTCCCTACCCATAATTACGGCAGCATGCCATTGTATCATACACCTAAACAACAACCCAAAGGCATTCTGTAAATTTTCAGCTTCCAACCTGTACTCAAGGAGACAATTAATACACTGTCTTCAATAGGGCAGTACAGTGCAGCTCTCTAGTCATACAGGACTACCATTCTTTAACAGGTAACATTTGGCAAATGAATTTACATAATACCTATTTCTTAAGAAAAATAAAGTTAGAAGACAAACTGATTTACAGATAATCAAATTACTTCAGAGACAGTATGTCAGTTCAGCCTCAGCCCACACAGAGACACTGGAAACACTTTTTTCAATTAGCCCTCAGTTTCTACGAGAATTACCAAAAACCTTCAGAATCTTGTTTAATCCAACCTCGGCAGACAGGAGGCAAAGCCATGTCTCATGGTCCAGAACCGGTTAGCTAAGCAGTCTATAAATATTTAAGAACTCATTCAATTTTAAAATGTAAACAGTATATACAGTAAACTAACCAAAGTTGTTTTGGTTTTTTGTTTTAACCAAAGTATAAAATTTTAAGAACTCTACAAGTCTAACATCACTAAGACAAACCATCATAGCAAATACATAGGTGTTCGTCAAAAGAACATTCGCAGTGATCAGGGTTGGCAATCTGCTGCAGAGTATGAACAACTGCCCAATCTGAAGTCAACAGCAAGATGTGTTTTTACAGGAATTTTAAATGTCCCTTAAAAGAAAATAAATCAATGGAAAGAACTTACAGTTATGTATTGAATATAGCACACTAAAAAAAAATATCCAAAAGAAAACGTGTGATAGAACCAAGACAGATTTGTACCATTGTTCAACATAATAAAGCTATGAAGAACCATATATGCACCATAGGTCTAGTGCATCAAAATTCTGCTGGCTGTGAAATGACTTAAGAAATTTACTATCTTGTTGAAACACATCAAGGCTTTACAGAACACACACATGGAAGGAATATGAATCCCTTTATACCCGCATGGTGCTAAAGCGTGGGACAAGTGATTACTACTTTAGCAGAGCTACTGTTCCACCAAAACTGAGAGCCTTTCTATTTTTTGAGACTGAAATCTACATGTCTACCCAGATTGCTGAAAATTCGGTATCTTACTGAGGTTAGAATGATCACACCAAATTTAAACAACTGAATCCCAAAACACAGCTTTGGTTTGGTTTTTGGTTTTGGGTTTTTTTTTTTTGGGG